CAGGGAAGGGGTTCTCGGGTTCTGGGCCGTTTCTCATCGTTTTCCTTCATTCTAGCAGCACTGCCACCCCTACCTTGATCCTAATAGGCTGCCTTTTGATCGTAGATTCTGCCGTAAAGAGAGTTGAACTGAGCACGGGAAAGAGGATGATAAAGAAAATGAGTTCAGGGAGTCAACGAAGAAAAGGAGACTACAAAGGGAAAACGGTAGAAAGATGTAGGAGAATGTAAATAGAAGGAAGGGAACGATGAACTGAAAAATGAGAAAACTGGGGCAAAATCATAGCGATAGAGAAAGGAAGGAAAAGGAAAGACAGAGGCACGGCGCAACAGACGAAGGAAACGAGCGAGAGTCAGGGTCAACCGTGCCGTTGGACAAAGTCCAACGAGGGGTGGGGGTCGTATTTCGCGAGGTAGCGTTAATGTTACAGTAAGGGAAGTGATGATGCAGTTGGTTGGCGCGCTAAAATTTTGCCGTTTCACGGTGTGTATAAGTATCCCTTTAGGAAATGTTGGTGAGCGGTAAGTGAGAGAATGTTTGCGGTTTCGTGGTAGGTATATACCCCTCCTCCCTCCCCGCTCGACGGTAATTTTGGAGGAAAAAGTGGAGTTTGGGCTGTGTCGACTGGTCTCAGAATCGAATACTATAGAATGAGCCCCATGATGGCGATGGCAGGCGAGGGTGGTGAAGGGTTGACCCTGAGGGGGGTCGTATCGAGGCCCTCTAGAAGGGGGAGGGGGTCGTAAAATTTTCGAAATCGGTCCAACGTGACGGTTGACCCTGGCGAAAGTGGTAAAAATAGGTGGAAAGAGATTAGAAAGATAAGGGATATTATGAATATGAACCGATGGGGTTACACTAGTAGAAGCAAGCATATGCAACAAGAGAGAGAAAGTAATAAGCACTGTGTTAAAAGAAGAAAAAGACCACAAGGCTAGGGATGGACTCAGGAAGGCAGAGAAAATGGGAAGGCATGTTCAGTGAGGGAAAATGGAGGCAATAAGAGCTCGGAAGCTATAGATTTTTAATCATGGGTGCTGCTGGGTCAAGCTTCGGCTGGCATAATGTTCTTCAACAGGTGTAAGCCTCATTGTCAAAGCCAACCCAAAGAGCTCCTCCCATATTTTCAGAGACGTGTGTCATTTCAGGGTTACTGTGGCAGCCCAACTCACGTCCCCGGGTTTTCGCACTGGATAAATTGCTGAAATCCCAAGTTCTAACGACTTCTTATTTCTTTTGTGTACACACATACAACTAACAAATTTATTGTTCTAAGCCAATGTTGAGCAATATGTATCTGCCGAGCACGGTGCACTTTGGCAGACATAGTCGAAGTCGTCGTAGCAATCGTCGGTGAACCAACCAAAGCTGAGACAAATTAATAGTTCCCTCTTGTATATCACATGCAAACAATCAATATCCACAACACTGGAGAAAATCAAACTGCAGCTAGAAAATATTCTATTTATAAATATCTTCGCAGTTCAGATCGCTCCATTCCTGCTACCTTTATGAAGGAGACTGAAAGGACACAAAAAAAATAATAAAGTTCATCTGCCGCGGGAACGGGTCTTCCTGTCCTCAGCTCATAAAATAAGAAGAAATTTTACTAGCAATCACTGTCTAGCATAATAACTACCTTCAGTCGATCAGCAACATCGAGTGAAGCGGATCATGCCTATACGAGTACTAAAATCGAATGGTGACAAATTTATTTATTTATTTACTTATTTGCCCCTTTCTTATTGCTTATGTTGGAATAATGTTTTTTGGACATATTTCGCGTGTTGCCAACGAATTACACTTGCAATTGTGAAGAAGAGAGCTTTTGGGACTGCCGAGAATCACCTTGAACAACACGGTCCAAATATCCCCAACCTAACAATTGAGAGACTGGAACATAAACTGTGACCAGCGCAAACATTCGCCCTCCAAACAGCCTTTTTTCAATCGACATCTCCGCAAACCTGGGCGAGATATTGCTTTTAATGGCAAATACTCGGAAAATTCAGCGTCCTCGACGCTCCTCGACGATCTGAGAGTACAAATCTCATTAAAATAGAGGCTTTCACGCAACCAATACTAGCCTGAACAGGCAGCAATCAAGCTCTATCACCTCTTCGCGTCCTATCAAAAGTTGGAAATAGGAATGGCAACGTTTATCGAAGGTGTAATTTCGACGGTTTTTTCGGGGGATCTTCCAGCAAAATACTGACTCAGACAAATGCGCGGCAGCTGCCTTGAATCGATGACCGTGACAGATCACGCTGCTGTGATTTGCCATCTCTTTTTAAGGTCGGCAAGTCCCTTCGACTCAGGGAAGGGGGGGGGGGGTCGTACTTCTGCGACCACGTCCTCGACACGATTCTCACCCTGCCCATATTGGGCCCATATTGGTGGATTTTATGAAGTAAATTGACAAAAATAGAAATAGCACGAAGTTATTTTTGTGATCTATAATAAACAGTTGTCCTGTTATCAAAAATATGCGAAAATGACGACAAACGGTTAGTAGGTGATTGTTAGCTGAAGCTCATATGGTTGCCACCGACCAAGTGAGCTACGGTAGGACCTTCACAGTTCAATAACGGGATGGGAATGCGCTTGCCGGCTATGCAGAACAGATACAGTCGATATCTCGAAGTCTGATTGGGCGTGTCACCGGAAATGACGTGGCAGCCACCGCACTTGATAGATGTTGTGTGGATAAAATACTCCGCCAGATATCAGCAAAGCGTGTTGGAAGCAGCTTATCCGCGCAACTTCTATCAAGTGCGGTGGCTGCCACGTCATTTCCGGTGACACGCCCAATCAGACTTCGAGATATCGACTGTACCTACCCTCGCCTTCAAATGACCAGAAATTGTGCAATTGCAGAAATTGACGTGGCATTAACGTGGCATCGATTCAAGAACATCTTTGAGCACACGTGATGTCACCTTGAATCGATGCCACGTTAATGCCACGTCAATTTCTGCAATTGCACAATTTCTGGTCATTTGAAGGCGAGGGTATCCAGATTGTCATCTCAGTGAGTTCCGACTCAAAGTAGACGGCAAAAGAAATAAGTGGTTTTTCTGTAGGTGGTTTACGCGGATGGAATATGAGCTGTATAGGTTAAAAGCTCCCTCAAAAAGGCTTTCGGGAAGTATCTTACATCCTAGCAATGCTTGTTTTGTTGTTTTTTCTTAGTTTCAGTCCTTAGTTTGCGATAACAGATGCTCCTAAAAACGGTTGCTTTTGTTACATCTCGTTTCCTACGCTTTTTCTTTGTTTTAATCCTTTAGCATAGGTGTATCCCTGTGTAAAAAACATATATAAGGTTGGCCACGGCCCATATCAAGTGTGCAACGAATGCTTTGACGTACCTAAATCCAGAATACTGGTACATGTAGACACAGTCACCGTCATAGTTCGGATATCCTGGAGCCCACATTTGATAATCATTTGAATGAAGCTGAAAATCGCACAATACAATTTTCAAGTGGAAACGCTGACTGTATAACACAACGGGCAGCTGTCATCATGAAGGAAAGTGTTACTTACCCAGGTGCCGTCTGGCCATTGGAAATCCCCGGACACTCGCTGAAGACCAATCCAAAACTTGGTTTTTGACGGGAACACTGGAATTGAACAATTAAATCAGAAAACGTCTATTTCAACTGTCCCATTTCATTTCAGCATTTGTTTTGTTTTGTGCTCATTCAATAACATCTACTGAAAATTCAACTGCATGAAGAGAGGTGAACTCTAATTGTTGGTCGCTCTTTCTGAGCGTTGTTCCTTCCGAGGTGCTGTCCGCTACTCTTACGAAGCGCCACGATTCCTCCTTCTCCAAGTAGAATCTTTGCTGTGACAGTTTGTTTCATGGTAGTTTGATTCCCATGGCCGGGAACTTTCAACTGTCCGAAAACGTTAAAGGAATCTTCCGCGGAAAAAGCTCCGCCTACATTATCACAGAAAACGACACCCCTTACCAGGAAGGTCTTTCAGGGCGTGACGAGCTTTTTGAAAACGGTCTTTTGCATGATATAGGGGCAGATGCGGGAACCACAGAACCATGTTTAATTTTTCCTGAACGGCCCTCTGAATACCAGAAAAGGGGGTCCCTAGTTCGATTCCTCTTGGTGACAAATTTTTGCATTTCGAGTTGACGTTCCAAAATTCGCGCAAAATGGAGTTCTGATTGTTCTGGTTGGTTCTAACTCCATTTTGCGCGAATTTTGGCACGTCAACTCGAAATGCAAAAATTTGTCACCACGAGGAATCGAACTAGGGACCCCTTTTCTGGTATTCAGAGGGCCGTTCAGGAAAAATTGAACATGGTTCTGTGGTTCCCGCATGTGCCCCTATATCATGCAAAAGACCGTTTTCAAAAAGCTTGTCACGCCCTGAAAGACCTTCCTGGTTAGGCCCCTAGCCTCATGAGCATAGCAAAAAGAACGGAACATAAGCGTTAGTTTCGATAATACTAATCCTACACACAAGACAAAATGATCACTCTTTCCGTGGAAGATTCCTTTAAGGTATCGTTTTCTGTGGTAATGAGGGCGGAGCTTTTTCCGTGGAAGATTCCTTTAAATCACTTCTAGGTCTCCTTACTAAAAGTGATGGTAAATTCAAGAAGGCCCCCAAGCCAGCTTTGGGCCCAGAATCAACTCCGTTGTGCTAGGAACAATGGAAGACGCTTCCGGGAAGGCATCTCATTTTCGATAAACATGGATCAGAATCTTTATAAGGAAATGAGGATTTTTTTCAGGAATTCAGGATTTTTCTTGGAGATTTCGGAAACAATTCCGCATGAAATATACCCTTCTCTGCTCACGTCACGCCCTCTCGCTCCGTAGAGGCTTTGGCGATGGAGGTGTGTCAAGTAGTGCCAGGTTACATGACGGTTGCTCCTGGTCGAATCATGCTCACATCCAATGAAATCTTCCATTCTCGAAGTCCTTTAGTCAATACTGTTAGTGCTGATGCTCTTCATATTCCTTCTTCCAAACTGATCCTGCATTCTTGTGAGACTCACTGCTCCCACCACAAAAACAAACAGTCATTTTCTTCCCAGAGCTTCTTCCGGCGCCATCACGCCAACCTTGCTGCACCATCAATAACGCTCTTATACATTCTTTAGGTTCAAGGCTCCCCGTATCAATTTTTACTGAAGTTTAACTCCGGTGCCCCTCGATTGGGCGGTAGTTCGCCACCTGGGACGTATTCCACACCGTTTTTGCCCTCCGAATCTTCAACCGGAGTGGTACCCCTCCAACGTCTCCACCATCATCTGTCACGAGCAGCCCCTTGACACACCCTGTTACTGTAAAGCAGGACCACTGACTACCGATTTCTTAACTGTGGACCACTATAAGTACCTAACATGTCGGTTCATAACAATTTTAGCCCTGCTCAGTGTCTACTGTTCAGTTTCCATAACACTGTGCGGATCTTCTCCTTCTCCATCATTGTTATTTTACCCACCACTACTTTTTTTCCCAAATCGTTTTCTTAGAACATATTGATCTCTTGATTGTGTTGCCAGCTTCAAATCACTTACAGGTGCTCAAGAAATATGATTTGTCGCGGCTTTCAACCTTGGCAAGAGTTCCATTGTGCTGTTTCCGACAGTTGTTAGCAGCAAGCATCTGAACGTAATAAAATTCAGAGAATAAATGCAACATCCATCACTGGTCTACGTAAAGTGGATTTCTTTGAAAAAACTCAGGAACTTTAGGAAGCATTAGTTTTTAAGCGGTTACAAAGCCTATTCCAAGAATGTTGCTGCAAGCGTGGACTGAATGGTTGGGAATGAATAAACCTCGTTAAAGTTAAAACTGGAAAAAGTAGTCTCCAGCTTCTCTTTTCTTCTTGTAACCTCGGCATCGTTCTTCTTATTTGTGTTAGTTTCTTGTGCCGTACGAGGTTTACGGGTGGAACATTTATTAGTTCGGCCCCTTCGACAGAAATCGTCGTCTTCTGAGGCCCAGGGTTCCACCGTTTGCGCGGGAATCCCGCTACCCCATATAGACGTTACTCAGTAAACAAGTGTTTTTCGAGTCAGCTCAGATAGACTTCAAGATCTTCAGTACCATAGTCCAGGCCCGCCCGGCCCACCGTCTGGGGATCACCCAATTCTGCCATACCCACACCCCGCTTATTAAACACCTGTAACAGAAGCGCGTGGCATACGGCTAAGGTAATCTGCATTTTTTTTGTTGTCAGCCAAAAAGCTCACCATTACGCAGTTGATTTTGCTCCCGTTCTCAATCACTTCTCCGCCGAAAACTTTCGAGCGACAGCCTAAACATACAAGACTCACGAAGGGCAGGATAAGTGTAATCAGTGGCGAAAAGAGGCGTGAGACTCATCCTTATCTAGGAATTAATACGATACCCGTGTCTAATCGAGCTCCGGTGGGTTGCTTCCTGAGTACAAAACCCAAAATGACGGTACCCACCAAACAGACAACAGAGAACAATAAGAGTGTAATTGGTATATAGAATGTGACTCCAGATAACCAGTGAGGTTATAAGTAACTTAAGAATTTCTCCGCCGCTTTAAATACTTGCCACACAAGTGTTGATTATAGGGTGGAACTAACCCGTATAAGAGGACGTTACACCATGAACTGTTGGCCGTTTTTACCGTTTAGAGTCGCTCGACACCCAAATTCCCATCCGCCCGCGCCCCCCCAATCACGCCCCTGCCACGCCAGCCGGCCCCTATGGCACTGTACGGCCACCACGTTGAGTCCCTCGTCCCCCCGGGATTGGTTCTACTGCGTTGATGCGTCGCCGCACTTCATGTCCGCGGCCCGTACGTGTAAAGACGTGGTCCAGACGTAACTCGAGTTTCTTTCGACAATACGAGCCTCTTTCTGCTCTGAGATCACATGCTTTTCCTTGAAGTTAACTTTCCATTCAGGGGCCCGGGGGTATCCCGGAGGCTACGCGCCCCGAAGGATGGGACGAAATCCTTTAACAATATATTTCCTCTGAAACTTGCCGCACTGTGGGGAGCGCTCGGCTGAGATTACCGATGGGTTGGTAAAAAGCCCTAAGATGTTAAAAGATATGTAAATATAAGCGCTTAAAAGTACAACTATAGTCATTGATACATGAAGCAAACTACAGCTCGTTCGAGCACAGCGTCAACAAATAAAAATAGAGGCAACTTTATTGACATATCACATAGCTTTCGTGTGGAAGCATGTCATATCGGCCCGTGCCTCGTAATGATATACGGGGGGGGGGGCCAAAAAAAAAAGACATTTTGCCTCCACTTCCAGATGGATTTAAGCACATTTTACTCAACTCAGACCGAACGGTTCCAACTTATTATTAAAGAGTGCATTCCATTCTATAAGAAAATCTTCATAGTGGCCACGTACGTGGACGGCATCAGAAGAATTAGCCCTGGAAACATGGTGCACTGGTCGATCTCAATGGCCGACGTCATACTTTGCGAATCGAGCGAATCGCTAGCGAATCGCTCGAGTCGAGCGAATCGCTAGCGAATCGCTCGAATCGCTAGCGAATCGAGCGAATCGCTAGCGAATCGCTCGAGTCGAGCGAATCGCTAGCGAATCGAACGATGCACCAGCGATTCGAACTGGGTACCAGCGAATCGAACTAGGTACCAGCGAATCTTGCATAAAGCTTGAAACTAGGGTGTTAGGCTAGGTTTTGAGTGAGTGTGTGGTTGCCGCCGGACAAAGAGCCTTTGGTGAGGCCACACAACCTCCGAATTTCGCGTTTTACTCCCCTATTTCGTCCACTATAGGTACTCGTTGACTGGTTTATACAAGGAGTAATTAAATTATTCGATCATGTCAGTCAATATCTAACACCGTTGGGCTTCATTCAAATTCAAATGGACTACAGTGCCGCGGCAGTAATCTTTGTACATCGGCGTCTTTGATTGATCTTAATTGATAGAGGATACAGGAAAGCTCACTGATAAGGACTTTTTCATATGATGAGGGGCATCTCGGAAATGTTTGCCTTCAAGTATCTGCGCCAAAAAATAGAAACTTGACGGCCAAGTTCAGGTTCCTATCATGTAGTTCAGAAACTCCACTGCGTATCATGAGCAAACCGTCCTTTCCTAGCGAAAAATGCCCAAATTAGCCTACCGTCTTTTTTTTTCGCTCGAGTGCCAACTCGTTCAACGCTTAAAACTTACAATGTTCTCTCTGTGTTTGCATTAATGAGACCTTCCATGAACATTCTCAGTTTTCCTTCTGACATCCCCTCTGAATGGAAACCGTCCATTTCACACAGTTCAAACTTTTACAGCTATTGTGGGGACTGATCGCAACTATAATCATTTATGGGGTACGTCAAATTCTTGAAAGCTTCACATGAGTCTTATGCTTATTACCAGATTGAATGTTGCTACGTACGCTCCCAACTTAGTCGCACTCGTCGAGGGAGAGGGATTGCCGGATGTCGATCTCTGCCAAATTGGAGGCGATCGCGTGAATATGCCATCGCGGCGATTCGCGGGCGGACGATGCGGCCGATGACGGATGAGCTGCTTATATGACCAATCGCCAGTTCCAAGTCGCGGCGCCTGGGTGCGATTGGGAGCGATTGTCACCTCACTGTTGTGGCTGGCGCCCCCTCTCGGATCGATACGTTTGACTGAGGTGACCGAGAAACTATAATTCTAGGAAGATGACTCCTGTCCGAAAAATGCCGAAAATCTGGTTATAGAAGGTGGTCCATATACTTGAGGCAGATCGGCAAGTATCGTTTGATCGTCCAGTGTCTGGCTTCGGTAAGCATGTTTATATAGCTGTGATCACAATTAATCCGTTAGCGCAGTAATGGGTCTGAGAGATCTATCGTATACTGACACTATTATACCCGATATCTGAGAGTGGGGGTAGGCGTGTCACCGGAAGTGACGTGCACTTGATAGAAGCTATGTGGATAAGCTGTTCTCAACGTGGGTATCGCTGGGTATTAGCAAAACATGCTGGCAACAGATGATCCACGCAACTTCTATCAATTGCACATCACTTCCGGTGACACGTCTGCCCCAACTTCCGGATATCGACTGTACTACCAAGTCCATGCAGGTGATAACCGACTAGAGTTTGTAGTTCCAGAGCAAAACTTACAAGGATCCTCTTTTCGTACTCATCTGAGCTGTAGAATCACACTTCAATATTGTAAATGAATTTATTAGCAGAAACACTTTTATATAAACCAGATTAGTCCCCCGTCAACCGCCGGGACCTTCCTTTCCTGCGCAAGCTTTCTATCCTCCGCTATGGTCCCTTCCTCCTGTGACACCAACACCTCGTGGAAGTGACGCGTATGCAACACAATGGTGTTTCAAACAGTAGAAGGGACACAATCATGATATGACGGTAGATTTTTCGCTTCCCTTCCTCATCCTCCCTTCCTCTCTCCACTGCCCTCCAGCTGCCACTGCAGCACCATGTGGAATGAACGGAAGTGTGCTAAGCAGGTGTTTATATAGCCCTAAGAGTGTTATCACAACTATCCTGCTACAAAACATTGATATCTCAAATCCTGTAAGCTACCCGATTTGTTAGCGGTTTGTTTATCCCATGAGCTTCCTTCTCACTCACTTCATTTTGCGGACGGACACACATACATACATACACACACACACACACACACACACACACACATACAGATACACAAACCGACACACAAAGTTAGCGCTTTATATAATAGAAGGATTACATTTTCTCATAACAAAAGTACAAGCTAAGAACACTGCTGTAAAGCGGACAACCTCAAACAATACGAATTTTTACAAATCACTCGCTAACATCTAAATAGTTTGCATTACTAAGGCTAAGCTCTAATGATTCATCTATTTCAGCTCTTGTTGATACCCTACACGAAGTCTTCCCTAACAGATTGGGCAGGCAGCCAAGAACGAGCCCAAAGTACTATTCATTTTCCTTCATCATCCAGTTCTTGAGCACACATGCAACTATCTACAGACCCGACCAACTTCTGTAGAACCCCGAAGGCGGCTATAACCCCTATACACGATCTTATTATTAGTCATGGTTGAAAAAGCGCTTTTTATCAAAATTTAGACAGACCATTAGACCAGTTCATGTGTAGTCCTTTACAATACTACATTATTACGACCCTAGCGGGAGAAGGAGCAAGTAGTAAAAAGCCACCACGTGACGTGACGCCGCTGCGGATTCGCGAAACAGCTTTTTCCATCGAATTGTGATGGTAACGACTCCAAAAATGAAAAACCCAAACCCAAAAATAAGTTAATAACATCCGCTATCGACTAAACCCAGCTATCGCATCGCTATCTGCAGGATAATTTATTCAAGGCGAATACTCGCCGGCTCTCGTGCCGCACATTGCCCAGCAATAGAATCCTGCTGAATCCAATAACACCCCTACAAACTGGCATAGCCCATTGCACAGAAATCTTTCTGTAAGGCGCCTAAACCACCCCTACAGCTCCTTCACAACCGCTCTCAAATATCAAGAATATATAGAGATACACCCCTAGTCCGACTTCGCTGGCACCCTCGTTCGCACCATCGCTGCGTGCACTCGTCTCGACCCCCTCGCCTCCGCCGATCAGACACTCCGACCAAACAAAGAACAGAGAGACTTCAGCTACGATTCGCTCGATTCGCCCCTAGCGCATTCGACGCGTCGAT